TATAAAGGCAGAACAATACCTACCTATGTCGAATTGAATCTAAATGAAAAATACCTAATAATTAGAACAAGATCATGTGCTAAACAGGTAATTACCGAAGAGACATCCAATGGTAATATAAAGATTATTAGTAGAGAAAAGTACCACGCTATCAACACGGAAATAGTAACTGCAATGTGATGCCGAAACACGTTTCCATATTTGAACAGTAGAGTTCCAGCCAGCAGGAACGCCACTATGATCTCTGTTAGGAAAGCACCAAGTACCATCTTGTCTTTAATATCTGGTGCAACAGTGATATCCAACGAATTCTATAGATCTCTAGACACTGCTGAATGCTTATGCACTTGCATTGAGACTATCCTCTGCCTCTTGCGACTCTTTAACTTTGATCTCCGCGTCTTTCTGCATCTTCTCGAGTTTCTCCAACGTGACTGATTTCAACGGGATCAACTTCGGCTTACAGAGTATGTAATTCAATGCATCTGTCTGATATAACAGACCTTGTCTCGGCAAGACTATGTCGCACTGTTCCACCTGATTCTCTATAGGTTCTGACATCTTTGATAAATCCTCAGAGATGATGCCTCAGAGAATTAATGACCTCTTCATCATGACATCTGGTAGCAGAAGAGCAACGCTGTAACGTCAACTAAAGATTAATTTGAGATTTCCATAAGGAAACAATCTTGATTCTAATTTAACTCAATATATTATTTTCTGTATCGAATGAGTGATAAAAGACTGGACGTTTACTTGGACTATATTTATCCTCGATCATTACAAGCTCAAATCAGCTGAGAAAAGTCTGCAGTCAATTCCTTGCATACCTGACGTAAAGCAATTGATAGAATGTTGCGACAGAACTTTCTCCTTGCTGCCGTCGTTAAGACAACTCAGGTGATTATGCAATTATGCCGTCGACACTGTCATTCCATAATCGGATACAGGCTGTCACTAGCGGTCACAGATGGTGACGAATTCGGAAATCATCGGATCTTTACTATGACAGTAGCAGCGGAATACGGAACCACGGAATCACGAACCATAGCCGCGAATCAAACTGAAAGACAACAATTGGGAATGCCTGGAATGAAACGTTGGATGTCGCGACGCGACAGTGCGAAACTCGAAACTAATGTCGACGACTGTAGAATCTGTAGATATGTCAGCGCGGCCAGTTAGATAAGTTAGATAAGTAATGACACCGACGAAATTAAAAATGATATAACTGTATGAGAAAAAAATTGTAATTTTGTGGTAATAAGATAATTATAGCATTATAAGGAAAAGGCCTCTATCGGGCTTTTTCTGTGAAGAAAATTTGCCCAGGTCTTTGATAGTATTTTATCGATGTAATGAAGTAGATAAATATGATATTGATAATTCAGTAATGAGATACATAGCTTGTCGGTGGTGGTATGACGATAACGAACTCGTGACTTAATTATAATGATATGCTACCCTTTTACGAGGCGGTTAAATAAAAAAGGAGATAATTGTCCTGGGTTGTCTTCAATGTCTCAACTGCACTCTTTTCAATGATAAAAAAAATCTGTTCTTTGTATATACGTAATTTTTGTATATGTATTATATATATATATGTATTGAGTTATATTTTCTCATAATATGAGTCGGATAATTAAATATAATAGAGAAGAAAAGAAGAAAGATGGAAAGATTCGACAATTAGTTTAAATTTGTAAAAAAAACTAATATTACCTATTAGATATTATTATTACATTTTATACTAGAGATAATATAGAGACATTATTATTTAATTGACATTGGATGTTGGCCTTCAAATCGAGAAAAAGAGAAAAAGAGAAATGAAAAAAGTTGAGTAATCGGAGATTGCTTATTTAATGCAGCTTCGGTTGTCATAACATTATAGGCTCGATCGTGAAAGTAAAAGCTTTCTGCGAATGATATATTCAAGATCAAGGCCGTATATATATATATATATATCTCATTTAATAATTCTTATAACAGAAGATGATTTTGTAACTTTAAACTCATATTAATATCTATTTTTATTAAATATGTGGATTAACTTTAATCTCAGTTCAATTAATTTATTCTTTATATTTTTTTTAATTTTTAAAACTAAAAAAAGATTAAAAAATAAGTTAAATAAAAATTATAAACTTAACACTACGCTTGCAATATAAGTCTTGATTTATACAAGCAAAATTTCACTCTTAAATTTCTTTGAAATAAAGGAGGGTAAAGTTCGAGTCTTTCTGTTAAAATATCTTGTTAAAAAAGTGTTTGGTAGTGTAACAGCGATATAACTCTGAATTTTTCTACATTTTTTGAAAGCTTAGAACAGTAAAAAAAACTTGAGTTGGACGGAAAAAAAAAATGATTGCAAGCGAATGATATTCTAATTTATATTGATAAATACTTTTTATCAACAAATTAACTCAAATTGTCATATTTTAATATCATAATAAAAAAATTCGTCATTTCGACTATATAAGGAAAAAAATACTTAAATAATAATAAATTCTTATTTAATGTCAGAGAAGTATTAATCGAAATGAGTTTCATAATTCAATCACACACATATCTGATAATAAAAAATATAGGTAGAACATTTTTTTATTTAATGTAGAGAGATTTCAGGATAACAACTTTATACATAACTATATATGTATTTTATCGAATTGTTAAATATTATACATCGTCACTTGGCTTTTCGAATTTTAAATTGCATTCTGAAACGTAATTCGTTCCTGACTTCAAACTATTCAAAGTTAACAATCGCTGATAAGCGTCACATGTTGTAAATAAATCTGAAAATATTGCTGTGTATATATGTATATATATATATATATATATATATATATATAAAACCGCAAGTAAACCAAGCTTGTTCCAATTATTGCATGTAATAATTGCGCATATATCTATAAATTTATTACGTAACTTTTTCATCAATCTCATGTACATCGATTTTTTTACATTTTTGCAGCAAATTATCTTTTATTAATTTTTAATTTATTATTAAATCCACGTACATCGCTAAATCAAGCGCGCGCGCCGCGTCACGTGACAGCAAGTACCAATCTGAACGAGATTAAAAAAGCCCTAGTTTTCAAACGGCGACTGTACTCAATTATATCTGTCTCTTTTTCTCACGAACGCCGCGTATGTCTCTATCTCGCTCTCGAAGAGGTGTAGAAAGTGCAACGGAACCCCGCGCGACTCCGAAAGTTCATAAGTTTGAAGAACTCTTCCATCTCTTTTCTTTTTTCTCTTCAACATCTAATAGTGTGTCTGTTTCATTTCAAATTCAAGAAGTGTAGTGAACATGATGCAGCTTATACGAGGAACGGACCCTGTATCAGCTGCGATCAGCACATGCTTTGAGTACTTATATAGGGTGGCATTCCGTTTTACGCATGATGTGCACAATGCATCATTTATCCTTGTTTAACATTCGGTGAACAACAAGGATAAATGATGCACTCATAATCATCATTCTGTCTTCATCGTTTGTTAGACAAACATAAAACAAACATAGAAGTACCGAAAGTTCTGAAAGTGTCCAAATCGAACGCAAGTCGCAGCATTGCGGCTGATTGTGACGCGTGGCGCGACGGCCGAGCCGGCCCAGGTTGGCCCGGCTGGCTGTGTCGTCACTATTACCACCACCATCACGCCGCCGTTGCCGCGGCGGCATCCCTGATCCCACCACCACGAGTGGAGTCCGCCGCCGCGGTTCAAAACCTGTCGGTCTGCATTCCAGTGTCGCCGCCGGTGAACGCCAAGCAGCAGCCGCTAAGAGCGGTAAGCGTGGTCTCGGTCTCGTCCGTTTCGTCGTCAAGCGCGTCCCGTTCCGTTTTGCCGATGCGTTTTCGTTCGCTACCTCGGCGTCATGTTCGTTGAATTCACGTCAACTGTGCGAACATGAAATAGACGAGGGTGAACCGAGTCGTCGCGCACGTGGAGGAAGCGGGGAAGTAACGTCCCGTGAAAGAGGAATACTCCACAAAGGAGCACGCGGGTTTGTACCGACCACGTCTCTGTAGTCTGTGGTGCATCCATCCCGAATTACATCTCGTGAGTCGACGAGCGACGCGCGGGGTGCGAGGGTATCCTCTCTTTCGGCGTCGACTTTGGTCGACGTGCGACCGGATTGAGAAAAAGGGTAAGCACGCCACTTCTCTCTTTCTCTCTCTCTCTCTCTCTCTCTCTCTCTCTCTTTCTCTCTCTCTTTCTTTCTCTTTCTCTGAATCTCCCTCTTTCCTCTTTCTCTCTCTCTTTCTTTCTCTAGACGGATGATCTCGACCCCGGTGCGGATCGATCGATCGTGCGATCGTGAACCCGGTCGGTCCTCCGCTCGGAACCGCTCGCGTCCGATCGTTTTGATCGCTCCGTGTTCGGAAAGGGAGCACCAACACCGGATCACCACGCTCGGAGATTTCCGTTTCCACGAGAGAAAATTATACAGCCCGGACATCAGATCCGGATCTTCCCGTCCGCGTTGCATTACACTCTCGGTATTTCGAGTGGGTACACACGCTCGTTCTATTTGCACTGTGTACATGCGAGACGGAGGTGCGCAACCTCGGAGGGAGAAAGAGAAAAGAAGCGAATAGAAGTGTGGAAGAGATACGGTTGGGAGAGACGGGCCCTGAGAGCGTTTTCTTCCGCGTCGAATTAACTTCATTCGCACGTATTGTTTAGTCTTCTTCTATAAGACCTGGTTTCACCAATGTAAAACTTGATGATTGACTTCAATCTCGGTTTAACTTTTATCTATTTATCTTCTTCTAACTCTCAGAATTAGAAATGCTGAAATTAGAAATTCGGACAATTAGAAAAGGATAAAAGAGTAAATTGAACTAAGATTAATTTTACATTGGTGAAATCGGGTCTGAGACCGGTATTCGATTCTTATATTTGAGATTGTCTTAAGTACAGTTTTAAGATATCATAAGCCAATCAGAATTTTTATTAGTATCTTAAGAAATTACTTAAGAGAGTCTTAAAATTAGAACAGATAAATCCGGATCTACAATGGGTGTTTTAAGCTTTAAGCCGTAAGAAAACCAATTATAGTCGAATGCGAGGAGAATAATTTAAATGTGATTCATCCATTCCTTATGGCTTAGGGCTTAAAAATCTTGTAGATCCGGGCTAATGAATATTTCTCTAAATCTTGGATCCTGTTTCTCTACATATTCTAGAAACATAATACGGAAGAGAATAAGAAGGGAAGGAATGACGATTTAATCGCGAAATTTAATTCACACATACGTGAAGAAGGATTTTAAATCCATTTTTCTTAAACGGTTTGCTTTTGTAGTCTGTCCGAGCTTGGAGTAAGACTTGCGCGTATCGGGAGAACGAAGAAAGAAGGAGGAGAAAAAAAGAGAGAAACAGGTGCGGAGGAAACGTAGATAGGAAGTGTGTAAAAGAGATCCGACGAAACAAGTGTATTCAGGCGTCGTAGGGCGAAGGGGAATCAAGATATCACGCAGGAGAGTACGAGAGTAACTGGAAGGAAGACCTCTCATTCGTTATCATCTGGCTCCGCCAGCGTCCAGAAACATCCCTCGGTTTCTTTTTATTCTTATTAATTTCACCTGTTTTCGATGGCGATTCTCGCCGTTTTCTCTCGATTCCATTAAGTGCATTGCGAGATAAATGAGGGGCGTGGAGACGAAATTCGGATTCACCAGCTTTATCGCAAACTCGTTTTCTCTCGCTCGACCGCGCATCGTTCTCAGGTAAAAATGCAAAGTCAACACTTTTCGATCGGATTGTTGAACCGAAAGATCCACGAGTGTTATGGGAGTCCTATACGATCTGTTTGAACCGGCACGAGCTAGAAGCTCTATCAATTTCTTCGGAAATCTTGGAGAAACGTGAGTTACTTTTACATCCCTTAAATGGCAATCTAATACAGTGGTGCACGCCTAATGCATTTCCTCACTTGCTCCAAAATTCCCTTTCTCACTTTCAGGACTGCTCCTC